ATGGGTGATGAATATCATTTTCAGACGAATCCCTCGACCACTGTAACTAACAGAAAATCACAGGATGAGAGCAATTTTCACGGTACAAGTGCACAGTCATCATCACGTTTTGTGTCAATTATAAAATGACATGTAGAAAAACACTAACACACAACTTATATGTTTAGCACCAAATGTCATGGTGACAATGTACCAAGCCTAGAAGTCTTTCTCCTGTGAGAGGAGGGATCATGTGACATTGAATTTGGTAGACTCACAAGATATCACCCAAAACAAATAAGAACTAGATCCTTTGTGTCGTGTCTTAGTCAGTAGCTTCAGATAGCACGACGGTAAACGCATAGCCTCACATATGTTATCCATAGCTTAATTTAATGAGAAAGGTCGTAATTTCATAAGGGTTTTTTTTTTTTTTCTTTTTTTTTTTGGGGGGGGGGAGGGGTCAAACAATAGATTTTCTTAGATTAGTTATTGAAAGATTTGAACCCACGACCTCATGCAAGAGAAGAGCTAAATATCTTTCCACCATTGTGGTAAATTTTCCCCTTAAAGACTCCACAAAAATGCTCCTTCAAGCTCCAGGATCTTTCATGCTCGTGCATGAGCTCGCTGATCCTAACCATTCCTGCTTTGAGAGCTCCACTAACATGAACGAGCTCGACTGTATGCCGGGTTAATCTTGGCCGTTCCAACGTTGTGGGTCAAACAAGCATGAATGACCAGGACTCGGCCGTATGCAGGGCTGATCCTCGCATTTTTCTAGACATAAAGCAAATCGGTCTCAACTGTCAACTGGGCTATCAGCCTAAACAGATTGTGAATTGGGCTACATTTTGACAAGGTAAGCTGTAATCATCGGCTCAAGAACTGGGATTTCGTGCGTGATAGGTTACAACAATGACAGTGTGAGCAAGTGTTTGTCAAGACATGCTAAATTTAAAAAAAAAAAAAAAAAAAAAAAAAAAAAAAAAAAAAAAAAAAAAAACAGCATAGCTATCTATATCTTAATATAACAAAAACAGCATACAATTTCATTAACCGCAACAATCTTTAACCGCAATCATGTTTTCCTCGAAACCTTCCTCTTTCTCGATGATCCCTTATGCTTTTCGTCCCTCTTCCTCTTTTTTTCTTGATTGTGGAATGACTTACCGACCAAGGAAGGCTGGTCTTTCAACGCAAAGCTTTTCGCAACATGTCCCAAGTGAAGTTTCTTCACCATAAATATTCTTTTCAGCTCACCACGGTGGGCAGTGTATGCACGAACCCACGAGCAAAATGTGTTTTTGGCCAGTGTCTTCATATCCGGCTAAGAAAAGAAATGAAGCAAATTTGTTAATGTTAATCACAAAGAACGAAACTCATAATTACTATGAATCTTCATATCTACAAATATGTCTAGCATAAAGTAAGCTAACTAAATATTATTTAATCGACAAGATACATAAAAATTTCACATCATCTAGGAAAGAAAAAAAATGCAGAAAACCGAATGTAGGGCTTTCTTTACAGTACAAACACAACACCATACTGCATACGCTAAGGCACACTGAAGAAGAATCAGGAGAATAGAAGTACCTTATCGGTAAATGCTTCAAGCGCCTTTTGCAAAGACATAACCCAGGGATGTGCGTCAATGGAAACAAATTTCCTGACATGCTTATGACCATATAGTGGAAAACTATCTAATATTTTGACGAGGGGAAACTCTGTTAGAGAAACACCATGTTTCTCCAACTCTTTCAAATAATCCATTTCAATTGGCTGTAGAAACAACAATGAATCTCCTCGTTCACCCAACCGAGCGGTTCTTCCAACCCTACATCGAGAATGAAATAAACATCTTCAGGGAAACTCAATGTAATATCATGAATAATGTTAAAGATGCATGATAGAGTTAGCCTAGGGAAAATTCATGCTCAAAAACAAATCTTGCAACATATAAGCATGTAATTTTAGCCATTGAAAAAGAATATTTTAGTCCATTTTAAATATCAATTAGTTCTTAAATTTTCCAAAATTTGAATAAATTCAGGAAAATTTGTTATCGGTAATTGTTTTATGCATCTCATGAGTCTGACTCATATAGTTGCACATCCAAGAGAGAAGGGGAATAAAATGGGAATTGAAAAGGGAAGACAAATAAGTCCAAATACCTATGAACATATTCAGTAGCCTCGCCTGGAGAATCATATTGTATAATACATTTTACTTTCGGGAAATCCAAACCTCTAGCACAAACATCTGTGGACAAAAGAAGAGCTGATTTTTCTCTTTTGAAGGTCTCAAACGCAGTTCTTCGGTCCTCCTGCTCCATATTCCCATGTAACCGGAAGGTCTTACAATTAACAAACCTCTGCTTAAGTTCTGCATCTGGTCCTGAGGAAGGTTTGAATTGGAACTCACTTAACAAGGAGTAGTGAAAATCCACTGCATCACATGTTGAAAAGAATAGCACAATCTGTAAAATGAATATGTGAGTGAACTGACGGGGTAGAGCTTAACGAAATGAAGTTTGAAAATGGAAGTTTGTCTATAAGACTACAACAAAAACAACAACAACAACCAAGCCTTATCCCACGAAGTCGGGTTGAAGTTTGTCTATAAGACTGTCCCCTAAAAAAAGCTAGTTTCCATGACCATTAGGAAATGGAAAGTTGATATGCAGGCTACCTTTTCGGAAGTTTGTCGCTCAAAAAGATACTTTAGAATCGAAAGAAGTACAGCAAGCCGCGCATTACATGGTACTGCAAAGAAATTTGATCAAAACACTTAATCGCCATATATGTACTTTTATCAACCGCCCCAACAAAAAAAAAAAGAAGAAAGGAAAAAGGAAATTTATTGGGACACACCTTTTACATATTTCTGTGTCAACTGAGCTGGAAGTCTATAATCTTCACTAACAGAGCCTGTTGTCTTCATTGTTTGTGTGTCATCATCATCCGTGTCGGATCCTAAATGCTCATGATATGCAATAGATTGCCTCTTCTTCTCAGGCATGCCAATCATAACAGGTTTCTCCAAACTCATTTTTGCAAGGTGATTGACTTTTTCATTTAAGGTAGCTGATAATAGCAAATTCTGCCTCGGAAACTCATATTTACTTGTAACAGCGCCATTCTTAGCGGCAGAGCCATGTTGCCTTGAGCCTAAAAGATCTAGTATTTCCTCTATTTCTTTTCCAAATCCCAATTCCAAAATTCTGTTAAAAGACCATATCGATATCGAATGAATGCAAATCCAACATGGATGATAACAATTATACAACAACATTTGGGCACAATACGGTGTATGTAGCATTATACCTATCTGCTTCATCGAAGATAATCCAACGCAAATTCGTGTGCACGAAAGAAGACGTATTCTTCAGGTGATCCAAGAGCCGTCCAGGAGTTGCAACAAGAATAGATATGCCTGAAGAGCAGCACATAGTCAGTAAGCAGAAAACATAAAAATCAAAACTTTAACAACATAAAAATCAGAACTTCAACAAAACCCGACATGAAAAATGCAAATTCGGCTACCTTTTCGCAGCCTGGCCTTCTCCTTAGACCTGTTTTCACCCCCCATTACATAACCCGGAACAATCCAATGAAACCTGTGCAACACCTTGTGCAGAATCTCGTGAACCTGCAAACACAGCTCCCTCGTGGGCACAAGAACTAGCGCGAAAGTTCCGTCGGAGCGCTGAATCCGAGGCTGGTACAAGTGCAGGTGGTGGATGACCGGAGCCAAATACGCCACCGTCTTCCCCGTGCCGGTGGCCGCATTGACGAGCACGTGGCGGCCGGAGAGGATTACCGGAATGGCTTGAGCTTGGACCAGAGTCGGAGCTTTGAAGCCCAACCTCTCTGTTTTCGATCAAATTAACATAAATTAATCATCTTTTGTTATTTTTTGAGAAAATCAAAGCGCGATTGCGGTGTAAAAAACGAGAAATAAATCATGGATTACCTTCGAGTTGTTCGCATAATGTTGTGTGAAGTCCGAGACTGGAGAAAGAGCAAGGCGCGAAGATATCGGATTCCTCTGTTTCTGTCGGTTTTCTCTTGGCGGCCACCATTTGAGCTGCTTCTGCTTCTGCTTGTTCTTAGTTCCAACTTCGAATTCGCTTGTTAATAAAGCACACAACTTTGAATTGGGCTTGAACCCTAAAATATTGGGCCTGGACTTACAACTGCTTAAAAAATCAAGTTTTACATGGGAGGCCTAATGTTAAACGCTTAAATCTTCGAGTCTTTTTAACTCATGGTCAATTGTTGCCCAACAGGATCATCTTCGGATCATTTTGGTAAGGGTCATGAGGACTTGTAAATCGTGTTCGTTCATCGTACATCATATGATCATTTTTTGTCAAGTACTATTTATGTTTAATTTTAAATAAAAATATTTAAAATAATTTCTAACCGCACGATGTACGATGAATGGACATGATTGACACATCACCGGGATCCTCACAAAGAGGTTCCAGGTTCAATTGTCGCTCAGCAGTACAATTTAAGTACCACTCTCGTTGATGATGAGTTTGATATCAAATCATCATACTTCAAATCCCTCTCGTTGATGATGGATTTGTACCAAATTATTATAGTTCAACACGCTTGTGGGCCTGAACTCAAATCTCAACCATAGTGTAAATATATCATTGTATTTAACAAAAAAAATATTGGTCAATTGGTTCTGAGATTGAATGCCAACGTTGTGATATGGTATAGGAGATATACAAGCATTGGACATATGCGGGATTGATTCCGGAAAAGGCAAAGAATGTTTTCCGACCATCATACGAGCTATCTAACCACCGAAAATAATTTTGCCTATGTGTGACAAAAAAAAAAAAAGCAATGGTAAAAGGTACATAGATTTTTAAAGTTACAATATGCTCCGAACAAAAATGCTTCTGAAAAGAAAAATATTTTCTCCACATCCAATGAAAAATTTGCATAAAAAATTTAAGTTGGACGCTTACATTCTACCAATAATTTGGGCTTTGGGCCTAGCCCGCACCTAAACCACAGTGCTCGGCCCGCTTGAGCTGAAGACTGAAACACTGAAAGAAGGAAAACAGAAGACCTGCTAAGGGAACCTCGTCGTCTCTCTTGCATCTTCAACCTCTCAGAAATCCCGAACCGATCGCATACATCAACGGATCGGTATGTTTTCATTCTTTCGATGCAAATTTCATCGAAAATTTACATTTTTTTTTTTTAATTTCTGAAAAATTTGACCTTTAGTTCCTGGTTGGCTATGGCTTAGGGTTTGGATCTGTGAGCAAATCGGATGGGGACGCGAAACGACGTCGTGGAGATTGATAGCTTGGAGGAGGGGTTGCTGTCAGAAACTGCAACCGAAGCAGAAGGTGAAGAACCAGTTCTGTATTCAGCTTCGTTTCAGGAAACGGAGGAGAATTTTGTGAAGTACCAAACTGCACGATGGCTTCTCTACTCTGGGCTTTTGGTACTGGCATGGGGGATTGGGATTTTTATGCTGCTTTATCTGCCCGTCCGCCGCTACATTCTGCGAAAGGATATTCGATCGCGGAAGCTCTATCTAACTTCCAATGCCATTGTCTACAAGGTAAATTGGAAGTTGAAGTTTGAGTCTTTATGTTGTTGTTGATGATTTGAGCTCCCGAATGCGGATTTTTGTTCTCGGTTGATTTGATTGTTTGTCGATTGATCATTACTTTGAATGCTGCTGGAATTTGGTTGCTTTTGGTATGTGAAATTATGGGTTACTGGTTACCATTGGATAATGCTTTGTTTCTTTAGCTCAGTATGCAAAGCCGGTTCCATTTCCAATTTTCGGGGTGTTGAAGAAGGAGAAGCATTTTTTGTTGCCTTCAGTAGCGGATGTTGTGATCGAGCAAGGTAAAGAGCATTGGCAGTTAGTACATAAGTGTTACATTCCCAGGTTACTTTTTGATACATATGTTTGTTTTGTGCATTGCATTTTGAGGTTTAGTCTTCGAATAATGCCTCAGAACCCTTTATTGTTACTGTTGTTATACTCAGGATATCTGCAGTCTCTCTTCGGTGTCTACTCACTTAGAATAGAACATGTTGGTGTCAGAAGGCCGGCAAGCGATGATGTTCATATTCATGGCATTGCGAATCCCAGTGCTTTCAGGAAGGTATGTTATTGACCACTTTAGTTAAACACTTATTCGCAGGATATCCCCAATTTTAGAAAAGATGAGTTTTGTCTCCCCTGACGTCCATTTCAGGCAGTCCTCATGCGCCTTTCAAGCATGACTAATGAGGTCTTCTCTAGACAAATTTCCACACTTGAAGATATTCCAAATTTGAAGGTAGGTCATATGCCAGGTTATTTTGGTGTGCCAATCTCAATTCTTATCCAAAGAAGCTTAACTTTTTTGGTCATATCTGCAAAGCTTTATCTGGACATATGGATAAATCCTTGATAACTCGTCAGGCCATTAAGAATGCTGGAAAATATCGCCTCATATCATATTCAATTACGAAATTCTCTTTTTTTCTATTGTCAGCTTCAGGGGTCCCCGTCAAAGTCTCTCAGGTATGGGGATCTAGTGCTGCTGCAAAAACTTGAGGAAGTTGGAAGTTCTGTAAAGGTAAAATGCTGAAATTTCTGTTTTTATTTTTAAATCGTGTATGCTCCTTTCTCGTAGACTTGACTTTCATCTGATGCCTATTATGCAGAGGGTTCAAACTATACTCGAGGAGCAACATCCTCAAACACCAGGACCTACAGACGGAAGCGCGCGAAGAGTGTTAAATTTGTAATTCTGGCCTTTCACATTCTTAGTTAGATATTTTTCTTCCGAACGGAAGCTGTTTGTTCAATTAGATACTGAATTCTAGAATATCCTACGTCCTGGATATAGTGTGTGAGGCAGGATATGCAGAAGGAGGGAAATTTCATGTCAGGCCTTTGTTCGTACAAGTTGCACACCACTACCATGTTAGTATCACCTATCTCGTCTGCCAAATCCAGGATTACAACCCTGCAAACGTTATGCATTCTTCCTACATTTCTGCTGGTGCCCACAAACAAGGTCCTGTTGATTCCAAATGTACTTTGTATCTTATCATTTGCAAGTATAGAAATTGACCCATGTAAAGATTCATGATTCTCCCTTTGGGGGTTTGTTGTGTGCTGTTCTTTCCATGAAAAATGTAAATGCTTTTTTCTTTCGACCCTTCAATCGTGTTCTCCCTTATACTCTGCGTATAATCGTATAGTTTCGAGTACAGTATTCAAAACTGTTTATGTATGTATATGCTCTATATGATTGTCCATTTTTTACCATGAATTCCTTTCCCTTTAGTTGGCTCTTGAATCTTTGAAAAGCATGGCTAGCCAATCAATTTGTGACAGAAGCGAGTGGAGCTGAATTGTGGTCATAGAAAAGTATATTGATTTCTTTACACGTATGGCTCAGATGTCGCAATCATGCCGTTGATTTATTCTAACTCTAACTCATTAGTTTGAACGAACTCTGAACTTATTGATTACAATTACTTAAATTTAACATAGATTTACCGGCTCGTACCTTGGTTTGGTTTGAACTTTTAATTCATTTTTCAGGTAGATTGATGACATTGTCGAAGCTTGCAAGGAGATTGTAGAATTGTAGCTCAATTAGTTAGGAGCGTTCACTCTTGCACTTGAGATCTTAAATTCAATTTCCCACTCCTCCAATTGAAAAACAACGGTGCTGTCCAAGCTTAAGCCTAGATTAGCCATTAGAAAACTGTGTATTGACATAAAAAACTTGTGTTTGTACCATGGAGGAATCAACACACTTTGAATTTGAACTTTGTAAATTAAACAGTCCGTTGGTGTTAACATGGGATAAGGTTGTATTTATTTCGAGCCACATAAAAGAAGCAACAAAAGTCCGTCACTACAGTATCTGTACTCATTGGTACCAAAGAAAAAAAATGACGATTCATTAATTGAAACATGACTTAAAATTTTTAATATCCTACCGAACTTCTGAGTTGGTACATGTCTATTTAGAAAAGAATATGGTGACAGATAGCACTGTGAATTGGAGGTATAATATGTATCTTGAGTACTATTATTTTGAGAATACTCTTGATTGTATTGGAACTTGATTATTTGATAATATGACTGGAGTCTCTATAACTCGAACTATTTATATAATAACCTCTCGAGCTAGTTTTTGAGATAATCCACCCATGTTAGAGAAAAGAAAAAAAAAGATTTAGTTTTAATTTATTTTTTGTATAGGCGATCTTGTTCTAATAAGCATAAAATTATATGAATCGATAACGAATTTTGAGTAGGAGCTCATACTGATTGTCTTCCTTCCATAACATTATATATATATATATATATATATATATATATATTTGTTCGTACAGTTTCGATGTGACAAGAGGAGCCTTTCTTGGAAGCAAACTAAAAGGCTTTGGAGATATGGTTGAGATGAAGTAGGGGAAAAGGAAAGGTGGTTGTGAGTCGTTCTTTCCATCGTACCTTGGCCGTGGCGTTTGGGTTTGCCAACTTAAATTTGTTTATTGCAAACATGCATGAAAAGGAGAATAAGAGAGGGATTTGGTTGAGAAGATAGGAGTTTGGCTTACCTATGTTGACTCAAGTCCACCAAGTACGTGCTCATCTTTCCCAGCATGAACATATTCGTAAGCACTAGTTCATGCCTTTCAAGATTCTCCTTTTAATCAATTCCAAAAAAATCACACCAAATTAATTAGAAATTAATTAAGCTAAAAGAATGATTTAAACGTAGTGTTTTGGCACTTAAAAACTCATTTGTGTCATGCAATTTTTGTGATTTTGGGGAAAAGACAATTGCATTTGAACACGGATTATTTGTCATGCGATTAAAACAGTGAAGTAAGATGGTCGATGAGTTTTAGGCGTCAGAGCATCAATATGCATGCACGCCCTTGGCCTTTGCATGCACGACGTGTTTTTCAGATACGAAAATTTCATCCAAGATGCTGCTTTTTGCGGATAATTTGGCATGCAATAAGTTGGAGGCTTTCTCTAAAAATCAAAAGGGTGATTTTGGTTTCGGTCCCTAATCAATCTAATTATTAAATTGAAATTTTGTTTGTTCAAATATTTAATCAAGGTTCTTAGCATGATTTAAAGGATTTAATTTCTGCATTTATGCATTCAATATCCCACAAATCATGAAATAAAAAAATTCAAAATAATATTTTTAAAATATAATAATTACTTAAAATTCAAGAATAGAGTAGTATTGTTCTTCACATAGTTTTAAGAAAAAAATAATGTACTCACATAATTATTAATATATTTTAAGAAATAACTATGGATATATTTTAAAACTTAAAATAAATATATGTAATTAGCATGGGTACATTAAGCAAAAAGATATTGGTACAAATTAAATTAAAAAATATGGGTACACATTAAAATTTAAATTATGGGTACACATTAAAATTAAAAAGAATAGTGTATAAATTAAAAAAAAAAAAAGAGTTTATACGAAACACTCCCGGTACTATTCATTTTTAATGAAAAACTACATTTTTACTTTTTCCTGGTACTATTCACTACACTTTTATTAGTCATTTCTCATTAAAATTAAATTTTTTTTGAACTTTTCATTAGTTTTCCTTTTAAAAAATAGGTACAAATTAAAAAGAAATATATGAAAAATACTAAGAAGAGATATTTAGAAATGATTAAAAAGTATTTGAATTTTTAAAGTTGACATACATGTAAATAATTTAATATTCAAATAATGACATGGACAAATGTCAAAGGACCTTGATCTAAAATGAAAATAAAATAAAGTTTCAATTAATGAGAAAAGAAAATTAGGGATAATTGTAAGATCACACATCGTCCAAGGGAATGATCCTTATATGTATATTCCCATCCCTACCTAGCACGAGGCCTTTTGGGAGCTCACTGGCTTCGGGTTCTATAGGAACTCCGAAGTTAAGCCAGTAGCGCGATAGAGCACTCCCATGATGAGTGATCCACTGAGAAGTTCTCGTGTGAGTTCCCAGAAACAAAACCGTGAGGGCGTAATCGAGGCCCAAAGCGAACAATATTGTGCTACGGTGGTGGAGCGGGCCCGGGACCCCGGGCCGAGATGTGACAATTTGGTATTAGAGCCTAACCTTGGCCGCGTGTGTGCCGACGAGGACATCGGGCCCCTAAGGAAGGTGGATTGTAAGATCCCACATCGCCCAGGGGAGTGATCCTTATATGTATATTCTCATCTCTACTTAGCACGAGGCCTTTTGAGAGCTCACTGGTTTCGGGTTTCATGGGAACTCCGAAGTTAAGCGAGTAGCGCGCGAGAGCACTCGCATGATGGGTGACCCATTGGAAAGTTCTCGTGTGAGTTCCTAGAAACAAAATCGTGAGGGTGTGCTGGGGGGCCTAAAGCGGACAATATCGTGCTATGGTGGAATCGGGCCCTGGAAGTGATCCTGCCGGGGCCGGGATGTGACAATAATAACCTAATTTATCCAAATTAAAATTTAATAAAATAAAATAAAATAAAAACATGTATGATCTTATAATTTACAATAATCAATTTATTATGGTCAATTATCTGTTTGTTAGTGTAAATTAAATTTAATGTCAATACATCCAAATATATGATGACGTACAAATAACCGTAATTACGCTTAAATACTTCACAAGACATAGTTACATTTTAAAATAATCAACTTTGATGTATAATAAACACGAGTAACATTATTGAAATATAAATTTGAAGTATCACTTTGCCCTTCGAAATTCATAATTTTTGGATACGGATGCGTCTGTATAAAAATGACATTGTACATGGATATCCTTGTAGCTAGTTTGTTTCCCTCGATGTAAATTATTGAGCACATATTAGACCTAGCATACAATAATTGCTCAAGGAAATATCTCCGAGGTAGGTATGCAAATATTAGATGAGAACAAAATATAATCCCTGTTGCAGTGTTAGTAGGTTGAAAAATTTATTCGTGTATTGACTATCACATTATCACATGTAATGAAAATGAACTCATCTCACAATGCACATTGTTTATAGATATCGCTAGAACTAATAATTGTTGGGATGATACCACACAGTTCAGTTTTTAATATATCAACATCGGTGTAATTGTCTGCATGCATATTTGTAGAAATATTCATAGATATATCTATATCGACATCAGTTACTTTTGAAAACAACGGATAGAAATGATGAAAATTTGCTCAAAAAACAAGAAAATTTAAAACAAAAACTTAGGAAATATCATTTGGCACTTTGTCGATGTTTAACTGATATGTTAAAATCATAGATGAAATATGTCAATTTAAACTTCATCCTATTTCTATAATTTTTTTTATATTTTTTAATATTTCCACATAAATATATACTATATCGAAAAAATTTCAAACAATTCACATAATACAAAAGATATCACATTTAGGATGAAACAAAAGGACATAATATATAAATCAATGGTGGAATGGGTTGATTGGATTCTGCACTAGATAAAGTATAACAAAAAACTAAATGAATCTCAAAACCAATGGTTGAAATTGGTTGGGGAGGAGAACGTACAAAAACAATTTAAAAATTATAAAAATCAGTTTTTAAGTATCAGTCAAAAATGAGTTGCCCATGCCCAAAAACTCAGTAGTTCTTATTACTTCGAGACACTAAAGGATCACGTTTCTGTATATATCGTGCAAAATTTTGAAACAAAAAACATATCGTATAAAAAATTGTGAGGCTTATATGCAACTCAAAAAAACCATATTTTATTTTTGAAGTTTTTTCAAACTATAGCTACCTCATTATCATACATGGTCATCATATATGGTATGATCAGCTTTTGTTAGATATTGTTAGTGTTTGATTTTAAATAAAAAATTTAAAATAATTTCTAACTGTAGAATGTACGATAAACAGATGCGATCTGCATCTCAAATTACAAACCATGAAACAAGAACTTTAATTTTAAATTCTGGGAGGGCTGGCTGCTAGTGACAATCCTCTATTATTTATCAATACAAAGGCTGTCAGTCAGTCACACCAATTAAAAATATATATTTAATATATTACTTTATGAAATTAAATTTATAAATGTACCAAATTTTCTGGTCAGAGATCTTTGTAGTTTGCGAAACGATATATGTATTAGAGTCTGTATCGATGCCTCTCTTTCATCATAGCACAGTGACTCAGTGATAGAGGGGGGAGAGAGAGAGAGAGAGAGAGAGAGAGAGAGGAGAGAGCACTTGTCGTTGTTATTCTGAGGACGATTCAGTTGCCCAGTCTCCAACCGTTTCAAACACCCACACAGTGACCCACAAGATCGAATGCTTCCACCACCGATTCTCTTCGATTTCTTCACCACCTCCTCCACCAAACCACCATTTCTCTCTCTTCCGTATCCATCAAATACCCTTTAACTCTCTCTCTTTCTCTCTCTTCCCAATACGGGGGCAGATTGCCATTGCTGCGAGCTTTTCATTTCTGGGGTTGCTCCAAATCGATTTATCTCAATTGAGTTTTTGGTATTTTCCGATTTGAGCATCTGGGTTGTCGTCGTCGTCGTCCTTCATGGCTGCCTCCTCTGTTGCATCTCCGCTCTGCACGTGGCTGGTGGCTGCTTGCATGTCGGTCACGTGCGACAGGGACTGCTCCCCCAGGGCATCTATGCTCAGCTCCTCCCGGAGGCGGCCGAAATGCGCCGGAAGGAGGCTGCCGTCCAAATGCAGTAGCTTTAGTGGCGAATTTCAGAAGGGTCTGATTTCTGCGTTCAGTGGATCCAGCATTCAGGGCCTCATGAGCTCCTGCTTGGCTTTCGAGCCGTGCGATGAGTACTACAGCTCTAGGGGTTTATCTTCTTTGGGATGCAGTGGGCTCTCGTCACTGTTTGGATCCAAATATGGGGCTTCCAATCGAAGGCAGAGGTGTTTTAATGGAGCCGCATATTCTGGTAATTGTGTTTTTCTGATTGTTTTTGACATGTTCAAAGTTAAATGATTGATCTTTTGATTGTTTGTTTGAAGTGTATCAGAACATGTTGATTGTGTTCTTGTTGTTTTTCTTAAAAAAAAATGCTGATTTAGAATCTGGGAAGCTATCAATTCATGTATTTTGTGTGCGAGTGTGTTTTTTGGGCTTAATTGATTGATCGTTTTTTTTTTTGGGGGGGTTTTTTCAATTATATATTTTGGAATTTTGCTTTATTATTGCTTTCCAGTATGATTTACTTGAAGTTGGTTATATTGGTATGCCAAAGGTTGTTGGAAAGAGAGAAAAAGGTTTTCTATGCCGTGTTGTCTTCTTTTCTATAGAGGTGCCAAAAAAGAAACAATGGTTTTAACCGTAAAGTATTCGAGTTGGATTCATTGATGCATAGCATCTTCGATTCGCAACTGTTGAGTGATTCATGATACTAGCCAGGAACTTTAATTTACATAGAATAAGGAATAGAATATCTTGTTAGTGAATAGGTTCTATATATTGGACCAGGAAAGACGGTTTCCGTTTACCTATGCGTGAATATATGGATATCTCCGCTCTAGAATGATATTCCATTGCCTGATAAACAATTGAAGACAATAACTTTGTTTTTTTCGGTTGATGTATTAGTAAGTTAGTACACATATTGTTTGAGATGCACGACGTTTGTTATATGTCACTGTTATTGGTGGAAATATAGGGGAAACCATGGCTGTAGCTGTGCAACCTACTGAAGAATTAACAAAACAGAAGAAACCTTTAACAAGACAGAGGCGGGTGGTTGTGACAGGAATGAGTGTGGTGACCCCACTCGGTCATGATTCTGATGTCTTCTACAATAATTTGCTTGAGGGAGTTAGTGGCATTAGTGAGATAGAAGCTTTTGATTGTACCCAGTTTCCAACGGTGATTAATTTACTAAACCTCCCTTCAAATTGTTGTTTTCCCTGTACCATGTTCTTACTTCTCTTTATTTTCTTCAGAGGATTGGTGGTGAGATCAAGTCTTTCTCAACGGACGGATGGGTAGCACCAAAGTTTTCTAGAAGAATGGATAAGTTCATGCTTTATTTGCTTACTGCTGGAAAGAAAGCCTTGGCAGATGCTGGAATCACAGAAGAAGTCATGGAGACATTAGACAAAGCAAAATGTGGGGTTTTGATTGGCTCAGCAATGGGTGGCATGAAGGTAACCCCAGTGTTCTGTGCCTTAATATCATGTACACTTTTTGCGGAACATTGAAAAATCTTTCTACCGGTTTGTCTTCAATTTGATGTTTTTAGCAAGCATGGTTAAGAGTTTGTAATGTTATGTCGCATCCTCCAAATGTCATTTTTGGTGGAGATGCACGAAAACTAGTTTCTTTGATTTTAGAAGTGGACTTGTTTATGTTCTTTATTTGTTAATTTAAGACAGTGTATCAGTATCTCTCTCCTGTAGTAACATCTTGTAAACGCAGCTCACAAAAATTAAATTCCAAGCCAGATAGTCTCACAATGATCCACAAAATCTGCTTTTGGGACAAGATCTGATGTGTTTTTCATCGCTTCGGTCATGTTTGATAAATCCGTTTTGCGTTTTGATATTGAACAGATCTTCAATGATGCAATTGAAGCTTTACGGGTTTCCTATAAGAAGATGAACCCTTTCTGTGTACCTTTCGCAACCACAAATATGGGTTCTGCCATGCTGGCAATGGATCTGGTGAGATTATAATATATATATATATATATATGCATATATATGTGTGTATGCATGCATATGTGTATATATATGTATCTCTATGTATCTATGTATCTATGTGTATCTATATGTATCTATGTATCTATATGTATCTATATGTATCTATATGTATATATGTTTATATATATATATATATGTATCTATGTATATATATATATATATATATGTATCTATGTATATATATATATATGTATCTATGTATATATATCTATATATGTATCTATGTATATATATATATATGTATGTATCTATGTATATATATATATATATGTATATATATGTATATGTGTGTGTATATATACGTATTTGATGCATACTCTTACAGTTTGTGATGACCGCTGAGATTTTGTACTTGTCCATTTAACTGATATTTACTCTTACACTTGCAGGGTTGGATGGGCCCAAATTATTCAATTTCTACTGCTTGTGCTACAAGCAACTTCTGTATTTTGAATTCGGCTAATCATATCATTAGAGGTGAAGCAGTAAGTATTCTGCTAATCATATTAAGTGGTAGAGTTTAGATGCAAAATATTTTCCTACACCGTGAAGTAATTTAGTGGTAGTTTAGATGCAAAATTGAAAGTAATGGTATGCTGATGAACGATCTTTGAGTGTATTATAATAACTGAGTTACAATTTTCTTTGAACTATTATGCAGGACCTTATGCTTTGTGGTGGTTCAGATTCAGTGATGATACCTATTGGTATTGCTCCCATTCTTTGCATATTTGATTTCTTAGTTTACTCAGAGTTGCACGTATGATAATATAATAATCTTATTCTTATGCTATCACTGCAGGATTGGGAGGCTTTGTGGCATGCAGAGCACTGTCACAAAGAAACAATGATCCGACCAAAGCATCACGCCCTTGGGATAGTGTAATGTGGCCAATAACAATGCTTGATTCATTTATTCTTTTATTTCCACTGTTATTGGTTAGGTTATATGATGAAAATTTTGTGAATATTGTTATGAACAAGAATGGTAAAAATCATCGAAAGGCATGTCATATATTGGATGTCACAACGTAAATTTGTGTTGGAATCTAGTCAGCTCTTTTGAAATGATGTGTCGTAATTTATAACTAAACCTAGTCATATCTATTGAGCTTGAGCTTTGAGTTTCTTAATTGTAGAAACGTTACTGCATTGCGAAAGAAAGTTTGAAACTGTAATAATTGTTTCTTACTTACATGTAGACTTACCTAGTTGTTGTTTTTAACGAAATCTTGTTTTTGGTTATTGGACAGAATCGTGATGGCTTTGTTATGGGGGAAGGAGCTGGCGCTTTGCTCCTAGAAGACTTAGAACATGCTAAGGTATTTTCTAAATCTTGGCAATGGCACTTGGGTGTCTGTCTGGATATCCTTTTTTCTTCTTTCTGTGTAGGATCACATCATCTGTAACTGTATGGTTGTAGGTGCAAAGTCTGTAGGGACATTCTGTATCCTGTGGTTCCCTCAAGTTAATCTGTATCATGCTTTCTGTTACGTTTCTTGAACTTGCTGCTACCCCTATAGTCTCACAAACACATTTTCTAATCATTCATTTCTACCTCCATTTCTATCTTACAGAAAAGAGGATTTAATTCATCGATTTTTTTTTTTTATTACAGAAAAGAGGTGCAACTATTTATGCAGAATTCCTTGGTGGAAGCTTCACATGTGATGCTTACCACATGACCGAGCCACACCCTGATGGTAATATGCGTTATCTTTGGAAATCTCACTCCTACGCTTCTCACATTCTTTTGTTGAGCTGTGGAACCAAGAAGTTTTTGGCAACTTGTTTCTGTTGATCTAGTAGAGGTTCATTATGAAAGAACATTATGTGGAAATATTTGTATGACTAATATCGTTATAGCATGTTTTTTGTGTGAATAATTTTATTCGCCTTGCACTTTGTTTCAATGAATTACATCAAGTTCTGGAATTTGAATTATTTTATTAATGTCCTTGGAAACAGGGGCTGGGGTTATTCTCTGCATTGAAAAGGCTTTAGAACAGTCTGGAGTGCCTAGGGAAGATGTTAATTACATTAATGCACATGCTACATCCACACCGGCCGGGGATCTCAAGGAGTATAATGCTCTCATTCATTGTTTTGGCCAGAATCCCGAGGTAACAACAATACATAGGATGCGTTACCTGTTTTCTTAATTCCTGTATTTCTATGTTCGATGAGATCTTTACGTTTCACAGTTGAGAGTGAACTCTACAAAATCCATGATTGGTCACCTACTGGGAGCATCTGGTGCTGTAGAAGCCGTTGCAGCAGTACAGGTAACTTACGTGATGTTTTTGACTTGGAAAGACCGTACTATTTTTAGACCAGATATGTAAGACCAATACAATTCTTGTTTGTTTAGCTTGAAGTGTAGTTCTTGACATGTTTTCTTCTTTTTGGGTAGGCGATAAGAACTGGGTGGATACATCCAAATATTAATCTGGAAAACCCAGATGAGGGCATGGTACGTTGTCTTCCGTTCCCTTGTAACCCTTTTCTGGTATATAATGTCCAATGAAAGTGTATTTGGAATCATCTAACTCTGTCAGCACGTGAATGCAGGATACAAAACTACTAGTGGGTCCAAAGAAAGAGAGACTGGACGTTAAGGTGGCATTGTCTAACTCATTTGGGTTCGGTGGCCACAACTCATCGGTCTTGTTTGCCCCATACAAGTAGAAACACAGGTCTAAGTGTGCTACTCCAATCTTTGCTGCAATCGTACTGAAGGTACGTTTGCATACTGCCACCTTTTTATTAGAAATGAGAAAGAATTGTAATATGTAAACAAATCAAGCAAAGTGTCGGGATTTCTTATGAAAAATAGTAGTACGAAACATAATTCTGCAGTATTGTGACTCTGTCTGAGACTTAATATTTTTCAACTTGAAATCAACATAGTAGAACAGTTGCGAGCACTGTCACATATTTCTTCAACAATGAAATCAATGATCTTTCTTGCGTTTATTTTGCTTGCAAATTAAGCAGAACTAGTTATCTGCAGATAAGACTGAATCCACATTGAAGTAAAGCACCCAAGAAGTCTCCCTTGTATTTGATCTTCACTATGGTCGGATGGATTGCAGCTACGAAAACTGAATCGCTCGAGAAGACTGTTGAGGAGGCCACTAAGTAGAAAATATTAAGAGCTCACCCAATGGTTAACAAGAAATACTTTTGCTTGTTATTGTTAGAAAAATTCCCCTTCCATAGCCACGGTAGCGTTTGTTCCTTTATGTGCCAGTCGTTGAATCGCCGCTAAGGCAATAGTTGCCTTGTTTGATTTGGTTTTCTTGTACAATTAGTTGGCTGATCGGATAATTGTAATGAAATTTAGTCTGCAGTTACATGACTTTACGTTCTTCGAATTCTGACCTACTTGTATCTTCTTTCCAAATTTTAATTTTCAAAGATAACTCCCAGTCAGGGAAACAGCAATCCCCTTTGGTACAGATTTGCGTTGAAACTGTTCGAACTTCTTTATTATGTCTCTCCACTTTTTTATTTTGAGCAAGCGATATTTTATTCTAACCTACACGTTCCTCTCCTTTCTTTTTATTTTTTATTTTTTTTTATTTTTTATTTTTATTTTTTATTTTTAATCTGGAGAAAAACTATAAAACAAAGACCCCTTGTGTTATATATTCCCCTTGAATGTGTTGATAGAAGTGGGATGTTCTTCACCTAGCTTTCTTCTTGCGGCTCCCTTTCCTCTGGACGCGGTTTTGGACTTCAAGTCTTTGGCGGAGAGGATAGCCGAGGCACTCTGCCTTTCGAGCTTCTTTGTCGTCTTCACCGCACTCGCTTTCCCCTTCTCGCGGCCGTCCTGTGCTCTGGTCTACGGCTCATCAACTTCCTATCAAGTGGCCAATATGCGTATGGTTCGAGCATGTACTTCGTCTTCAAATCCCAGCAACCTCCGAACATTCAAACCAGGTAAACGTAAATGGAAATTTTATTTGAATTTATGTAACCTCTTTTTACATCTAACTTATTCTTTAAACCCTCGTTATTTTTAATTAAAAAGATTAATATCTCTTTAAACCCAAAATTATTATCTAAACTACCATCCCAGATCCAATTCAAAATGTAGATTTATTTTTACACCCTTTTGGAAAATATAATCCCGAATTAAATAATTTGGTGAAGTTTCTACTTGTTTATGAATCTTCTAAAAAAGGTGTGATGGTAGGTTTAATTATACGGTGTGGGTTTATTGATAAATTCAAGTTTTATTATTAATTTCATATTGTACTTGATAGTGGGTGTTGAAAGAGGTTAAGTGGGTTCAAATAAAAATTTCCAAAGTAAAACTGCCAGGTCAAATAGTTTGAGTTAGGAAACTCTTACTCCTAGCACATCTCTTACAAAGTAATGAGTCGATTTTGTATGTCTGAATAATATTTTTTTTTTTTTTTGAACAATTGATATTATCTACACTAAGGGGATGAGATGAGCTTAGCCTCACAATGAGCTAGCAATAATGTGGTTCAAATTTGCCTTTGGCGAGAATTGAACCTAATACCTCTCACTTACAAATGAAGAGAAATACCACTAGACCGTAGTACTATGTGTCAAATTATTGTTTTAGTTAAACATGAATTATTGTTAAATTATGCAAACTGAAAATTTTGGAACTCTATATATTGATATTTGGTAATACATGTAAAAGTCTAAAAGAATTTGCACACTTTAGCCTTCCCTTCGACCAACTTTTATGGCTCATTTACTAATCTGTAATCAAAATAAATGAAATTGAATTGAGAAGGAATTAGATTAAAGAGGAATAAAAAACAAATTCCTATGAAAGGTGTTTACTAAACTATCAAAAAACGGAATAGCATTGATGTCAATTCCATATAAATTGTTTACCAATTCATTTCTGAATCGGAATCGAAACCATTTGATTACTACACTGCCCTTGGTTTAAATTATTTTATGTGAAAACTAATAAAATTTAATTTTCATAACAACATTAGCATTTATGAATTTTGTCTCGTTTTTTGTTTTTGACCTTTTTAAACCTAATTTGTTATACCACCGGCACGCCCATGACTTTCTAACCAGCCCAATTTTTCGTCCTTTTCAAACCTTCGCGTCTTTTCCTCTTCTCCCAGTATCCTTCGTCAGTCCTCCCCAGCCGGCACCGCCATCGCCACCACCTCTTCCTCCCTCCCCTACATTTTATTTTCTGCGCATCCTTCATTACCATTTTCCTGCGGCTCCGTCTCTCTCTCGCTCCTCCATCCCCACACGACCACGACGCCACAACCACAGAAGTACTGGCGCTGGAGAGATGTGGGCTTGTTGATTTAAGTGGCAGATTGGAGTTTTAGGAATTAGGTAGAAAAATTGTATTCCGGATTCCGCTTGTCTCCCGGAATTCAAATGACACCTTTCACCTCAAGAATACAATTCTTCCAAAATCAGGAATCCGATTCTATTTTTCGTGTACCACCCATTTTGATTTATCCACGGACACGTAAACACGTCCTTGACTAATTAATCAAGTAAAAGTTTGCTAGTTTCTAGAATATAAATTTTTTCTAGTCAATCCCCAGCTCTTAATTAATGATGGATAGAAACCCCTTTTAAAATGAAGTTGCGACGAAACTTCCATAGCTTCAACTTGACCACATTCGAAGGTAGTAGGTAGGAAACTACTCTGCTGGTAGGAAGAAAAGCTTGAGGACTGATACATATATCAAGAGAGAGTCCATTATCCATACCATACTGCGTATTCCAAATCTTGTTAAGGCTATTTTCTTTGGTTTATCTGGCTTTAATTCTCCTATGGCCAATCAACTTGTCTCTTCTTCTTCCTTCAGCAGTACTCCTTCATGGAGATATGATGTGTTTTTGAGTTTTAGAGGTGAGGATACACGAACCAATTTTACAGATCATTTATACCATGCCTTGATCCGTAATGGAATCAACACCTTCATTGATTGCCATCTTACAAGAGGAGAAGAAATATCGTCGGCTCTTCTCCAAGCAATTGAAGAGTCGAGAATTTCGATCATCGTATTGTCTGAAAAATACGTATCCTCAAGATGGTGCTTGGACGAGCTCGTTCATATCCTTGAATGTAGAAAGTCAAGGCAGCTAATAGTTTGGCCAGTTTTTTATAAGGTGGATCCGTCCCATGTACGAAATCACACGGGTAGTTTCGGTGAAGCGTTTACAGAACTTGAGTGCAAATTCAAGGACAACAAGAAGAAGATCCTCGCATGGAGGAGTGCTGTTAAAGAAGCAGCAAATTTGTCAGGATATCCTCTCAAGAAAGAAGAGTAAGTTTATTCGTGCCCCTTCTAGTATTGTATATTTGTACGGTTAATTTTCTTGATTCCTGTATTTCATGGTACAAATGTCAATTTAGCTGCGTATTTCGGTTTTCCCCAGAATAAAGCGTATTTAGACTTCATGCTATGGATGCTTTTTCTTTTGAATACAAATATAGGAGTAGAGCAATAAAGTTAGTGAGTTAGATATTAGGACAGGAAAGATTCACACTGATTTTCCTCTTCACAATCACAAACAATTTAACCTATTAAGATTATCATTTGTTGGAAAAAAAATGTAACTTTTGTTTTCTTTTGAAAATTTTGATGGTACGAGAGAATTTTATTGATATAAAAAATAAAAAAATTACACTAAGGGACATAATCCTCACCCCTCAATGCAAGGAAAAAGAAATACGTAAAAAAAAAAATATATATATATATATATATAAATCTTATTTGAAACAGAAAAATACTACAAGAAAAGAGTGGAACATAGAACCCAAACCCTCCAAAACGAACCTAAAAAGTAAGAAAAATTAATGAAAAGTGCTTGAAAATTTTGAGTTTTAATGATAAAGATAAAATAAAGGGTAAAATGAATAGTACTATGATTGATTTTTTAGTGTAAAAATGTGATTTTTCGTTAAAGTAAACAATAACGGGAGTTAACCTACAATAATTAATGTCAATTTATTGTGATTCATTTTCACAATCTCTAGCGAGCGACACATGCTTAACCTTTTGAAACCCTCTCTTTTGGATAAGCAGAGAAAAATATTCTATACTTTTCATTAATATCGTGTAATATTCCTTTCTATTAGTTTTTTTTACATTCTCTTCCACATTTCTCTGAGATATAGCAAAAAAAAAAAAAAAAAAAAAAAAAAAAAAAAACAGTACTAATTAATTGTGTGATTTGTTTTTTACTGCTAGCTCTGAAGCTACCCTTATCAATAAGATTGTTAAGGAGATCTTAGTCGAAGTACTACAACGCACATATTTGAATGTGGCCAAACACCCAGTTGGAATACACTTGTGCGTACAAGAGGTGAAAGAGCTTTTAGGTGTCGGAGGAAATGGTCGTGTGGTTGGGATATGGGGGACATCTGGAATAGGCAAGACAACAATTGCAAAAGCTGTTTATAATGCAATTGCTCATGTGTTTCAAGGTAGTTGTTTCCTGGCAGATGTCAGAGAACTATCGACATCACGTGAAGGTGTAATCCAACTACAAAAGACTCTTCTTTCTAAAATCCTATGCGGTACAGAGTTGAATGTTGTCGATGTTCATGAAGGAATCAGTCTTATAAAGAAACTGTTGAGGCAGAAGAAGGTTCTCTTAATTCTTGATGATGTGGATGAAATGGAGCAGTTAAACAACCTAGTTCAAGTTGATTGGTTCGGTGAGGGTAGCAGAGTGATCATAACCACAAAAGATAGAGGATTGCTGAAATCTTATGGAGTTCGGTTGATATACAAGGTCCAAAAGTTACAAGACGACAAGGCTCTTGAGCTTTTGAGTTTGAATGCCTTCGGAAGAAATGAGCCTCCAGACAAGTATTTCAAACTCGCACAACGTGCAATAGCCTATGCTGAAGGTCTTCCGTTAGCTCTTAATCTTATAGGTTCTCATCTGCATAATAAAAGTATAGATCGTTGGCAAGATATATTAGATAGTTACGATGCTTATGAAGGAGAGCCTTATAGAGGTATTCAAAGAACACTTCGAAAAAGTTATGATGCGTGGGATAATGTCCTACAACAAATTTTCCTAGACATTGCATGCTTCTTCAAGGGCGCAGATAAAGACTATGTGTTACAAATATTAAGAAGTTCGAAGCTCAATGTACCTCAAGATTGTATAGAAGTACTCGTTGAGAATGCCATCATAACTATTGAAGATAATCGGATTTTGATGCATGACTTGCTAGAAAAAATGGGTAAGCATATAGTTTACGAAGAATCTCCCACTGAACCAGGGAAACGTAGCCGATTGTGGTTTCATGAAGATGTGTACGATGTTCTAACTAAAAATTGGGTAAGTAAAATATATGTTCATACATTTGATTTGCATGATCTTGAAAAGAAAATACAGAAATTTAAAATAGACATTGTGTTTTGTTTGTTAATTAAACGACATGGTTTGTTAATAATATTTCATTTTTTTCCATCTCAGGGAACATGGAAAATTAAAGGCATTGTGGTGAAGTTGCCCAAAACAGATGTGATACCCTTGAATGCAAAAAGCTTTTTGCATATGGTAAATCTTGAAATTTTTATAAATCTTAATGCACGTTTTTATGGACGCGTTGATTATCTGCCCAACGATTTGAGGTGGATTGAATTGGGTGGACAATCTGATATTCATCAAAAGAATACAATTGTGTTCAATTTGCCGTCCAATTATCATCCAAGACATCTCGTTAGGTTTGATGTGTCATACAGTGGCATAAGACAATTGAAGGAATTTAAGGTATATACTTTAAAGTATTTTGAATCATTATTTATTTAAACATATATTATTTCCCAAAAAATAAAACCTCAAGTGTTTCATTAAATTCTTTTTAAACATGTGAATTTCGGTTTTGGTTTCACAGAATTTGGCAAAGCTTACATTCATGAATTTAAGAGGTTGCGAATTATTGGAAAAAATTCCCGACTTATCTGGAAGCCCAAACATAAAGTTCTTGAATCTAAGCAAGTGTAAAAATTTGGTTGAGGTTGATGATTCTGTTGGATTCCTTGATAAACTTGTTGAATTGAATCTTAGTGGGTGTCCTAAGCTTAAGAGGTTTGCAACAAGACTTGGATTGGGATCCCTTCGATGGCTTTCTCTCAAAGGTTGCACAAGGCTCGAGAGTTTCCCAGAAATAGAGGAGGGCAAGATGGAATCCCTATTGTCTTTGCATATAGAAAAAAGTGGCATAAGAGAACTGCCTTCATCAATTGCTTATCTTACTGGGCTCGGGAGTTTTGCAGCAAATGGTTGTGAGTTGCAAAATCTCCACCTCCTAACTTTTGGGAAGAAGGTGAAGTTTGATGAAGTTTCATCCTGCAGTACCAAATCACAGTTGTTTTCAACTTACTTAGATACTTCAGATAACAACTCTATCACATTAACGCTTCCAGTGCTACGGAAGCTTTATCTTAACGGATGCAATTTATCAGAAAGTGACTTCCTTGTGCCTCTTAATTGCTGGTCCACATTAAAAAGACTTGATCTGTCGAGTAACAATTTTGTTAGTCTTCCGGATTGCATTAGCAAATTTGTCAACTTGGAGTCACTTAGACTCAGTGATTGCAGATCATTGGAGAACATTCCACAAGCCCTACCACCAAAACTACGTTTGTTAGATCTAAGTGATTGCAGATCGTTGGAGAAACTTCCAGAACTGCCCCCTATGTTTGAGTTTCTGATCTTGACAAATTGCTTTAGACTAAGTGGCGATGAGGTGGCAAAGTTGGAAAACAATTTGTTGAATCATCAGGTTCCTCTCTCTTCTTCTTAATTTCTCTGGAAATGAAAATAAATTTTGTTGATATATACTTGAGAGAGAGATCAGATAACGACTGTTTGTAAGTTAACTATATATATCTGCTATTGCAGGAATCTCTTCGGCGCTCTGAATTTCAAGTTGTTCTTCCAGGCAATGAAGTTCCAAAGTGGTTCAGCTATACCTCTAACCATCCAACAACACTTGAACTTCCACCAGAATATGAAGACTTTGTTGGTGGCAGTGAATTTTGTTTTGAAATTCCTCTAAATTTACAAGTGGGGGAGACATTATTAGGATTGGCTCTATCTTTCGTTTTTGAACCACCGACTTTTCATTTTCTTTATACTACTATTCTCATCAACGGAATAGTCAAGTTTGAACCTTACGTATGGTTTGACAATGACATGAAGGCAGCTCATGTGAGGAGCAAGTTAGTGGATTTAGAGGAGCACGAGCAGGAGGGAGATATTTGTCAAGTTATATTTTTATTTCACAAAGCGACACGCATTAAAAGCTGCGGGGTGCATCGCCTATTGCGCAACCAAAACGAACTGCTTAACTTCTCTTCGGAGCCATCAGATTGATCTCAATGTTCCTATTGATATTGAGGAGGAGAAGGAGCAAGAGCAACCGTCCACTTCAAATGATCGACAGTTTCTGATTTATTAAGAGTTTGGGTACGTACATATTCATTTGCACTTCCCTAATCCTAATCTTTAAAATAAGGAACCGTTCGATTACCATTTCAGTTTTTAGTTTACATTTTTTTTGAAAAATGAAAACCGAGAACTCGATTGGTAACTTCTCCTTGTTCTATTATCTTGTGTTTGCCTTTCAGTTTTCTCGATATAGCAATCTTTTGTTTCAACCCTTATAATGACTAGTAAGCATTTAGTCACAACCACTCTTCATGACCAAAAAAATTAGTAATGACTAAAACTCTATTTGTAACAACTAGCTACTATAACAAAAGTCTACTAATTACAACTTCAAATCAAGACTAGTATGTTCCATTCTATCACTTACACTTGCTTTTCTCAATATCATGAATAAAAACAGAAATACCATAAAGCTAATCAAATCCATTGAAAGTCGTTTCTACATGATAAAGTCATCTACAAATCAACTGAAAGTAGAAATCAATTCAGTCCATTAACTTAGGTAGGACTATATCTTTAGATAGGACTATATATTTGTAGAGAAACTTAGTTTTTTATTTGTTTGAGAGAGAGATAAAAATTATTCATGCGACATGTGATATCATGGTTGTTTTTAATTGCTCTTGCATTTATAATTTTATTCAACATCTTTATCTTTTTATTTGTACTATTTTATTTTATGTCCTCCTTGTTTCTTCTTGGTCCATTTCTCTCTCTCTTGTTTCTCCTTCGTACCCGTATCTCTCTCTCTCTCCACCTCTTCTTAGAATTTTGAAACCAATCTTGAAAATATGCTTAAAATTTTGAAATTGATCTTGCAGAACTACTGAAATTACGAAACTGATGTTGCTCTAGATTCATTTATTCTTTTATTTCCACCGTGATTGGTTATATGATGAAACTTTAGTAAATATTGTTAAGAACAAGAATGGTAAAAATCGTCAAAAGGCATGTTTATATTGGTTGTCACAATGTCAGCTTTTTTGAAATGATGTCTCATAATTTATAACTACTGAGCTTGAGATTTGAGTTTCTTAATTTTAGAAACGTTAAACAAGTGCAAAGTTACTGCATTGCGAAAGAGAGTTTGAAACTGTAATCATTGTTTCTTACTTACATGTAGACTCACATTGGTGGTGTCTTTAACGAAATCTTGTTTTTGGTTATTGGACAGAATCGTGATGACTTATAGTCAGAACATGCTAAGGTTTTTTTATAAATCTATAACCTTGGCAATGGCATTTGGGTGTCTGTCTGGATATCCTTTTTCTTCTTTCTGTGTAGGATCACATCGTCTGTGAGGTTATAGGTACAAAGTCGGTAGGGACATTTCTGTATCCAGTGGTTCCCTCAAGTTAATCCGCATCACGCTTTCTGCTACGTTCCTTGAACTTGCTGCTACCCCTATAATCTCACAAACACATTTTCTAATCATTCATTTCTATCTTACTATGAAATATGGTGTTTTTGTATAAATGCTACATTAGAGCATTTAATTCATCTTTTTTTTTATTACAGAAAAGAGGTGCAACTATTTATGCAGAATTCCTTGGTGGAAGCTTCACATGTGATGCTTCCCACATGATTGAGTCACACCCTGATGGTAATATGCTTTATCTTTGGAAATCTCACTCCTACGTTGCTCGCATTGTTCATTTTGAGCTATGGAAGCAAGAAAGTTTTTGGTAACTTGTTTCTGTTGGAAACAGGGGCCGCGGTTATTCTCTGCATTGAAAAGGCTTTAGAACAGTCTGGGGTGTCTAGGGAAGATGTTAATTACATTAATGCACGTGCTACATCCACACCGGCCAGAGATCTCAAGGAGTATGATGCTCTCATTCATTGTTTAGGCCAGAATCCTGATGTAACAACAATACATAACATGCATTATCTGTTTTCTTAATTCCTGTATTTCCATGTTCGATGAGATCTTTACGTTTTACAGTTGAGAGTGAACTCTACAAAATCCATGATTGGTCACCTACTGGGAGCATCTGGTGCTGTAGAAGCTGTTGCAGCAGTACAGGTAACTTACGTGATTTTTTCGAACTGGAAAAACTGTACTATTTTTAGACCTTTATGTGTAAGACCAAATACAATTCTCGTTTGTTTGGCTTGAAGTGTAGTTCTTGACATGTTATCTTCTTTTTGGGTAGGCGATAAGAACTGGGTGGATACATCCAAATATCAATCTGGAAAATCCAGATGAGGGCATGGTATGTTTTCTGTTCCCTTGTCACCCTTTTCTGGTATATAATGTCCAATGAAAGTGTACTTGGAATCCTCTAAAATACTACTAGTGGGTCCAAAGAAAGAGAGATTGGACGTTAACGTGGCATTGTCTAACTCATTTGGGTACGGTGGCCACTACTCATCTTTCTTGTTTGTCCCATACAAGTAGAAACACAGATCTACTGTGCTGCTACAACCTGTGCTGCAATCATACTAAAGGTATGTTTGTGTGTAGCCACATTTTTATTAGAACTTATAAGGAATTGTGATATGTAAACAAATCAAGCAAAGTGCCGAGATTTCTTATGAAAAATAGTAGTCCGAAACATAAATCTGCAGTATTGCGATTCTGTCTGAGAGTTAATATCTTTCAACTTGAAATCAACATAGTAGAACAGTTACGAGCACTGTCACATATTTCTTCAACAATGAAATCAATGATCTTTCTTGCGTTTATTTTGCTTGCAAATTAAGCAGAACTAGTTATCTGCAGATAAGACTGAATCCACATTGAAGTAAGCACCCAAGAAGTCTCCCTTGTATTTGATCTTCACTATGGTCGGATGGATTGCGGCTACGAAAACTGAATCGGTCGAGAAGACTGTTGAGGAGGCCCCCAAGTAGAAAATATTAAGAGCTCACCCAATGGTTAACAAGAAATACTTTTGCTTGTTATGGTTAGAAAAATTCCCCTTCCATAGCCACAGTAGCGTTTGTTCCTTTTATGTGCCAGTCGTTGAATCGCCGTTAAGGCAATAGTTGCCTTGTTTGATTTTGGTTTTCTTGTACAATTAGTTGGCTGATCAGATAATTGTAATGAAATTTAGTCTGCAGTTACATGGCTTTACGTTCTTCGAATTTCGACCTACTTGTATCTTCTTTCCAAATTTTAATTTTCAAAGATAACTCTAAGTCAGGGAAACAGAAATCCCCTTTGGTACAGATTTGCATTGAAACTGTAGGTCTAAGTAGTCCGTTATTCAGTTCTATGGATGGTATACTTGGGACCTGTTCGAGCTTCTTTATTATGTCTCTCCACTTTTTTATTTTGAGCAAGCGATATTCTATTCTAACCTACACGTTCC